TGAGCTAACATCTGCCAGTCCTCCTCTTTTTGCTGAGGAAGACTGGCCCTGAGCTAACATCCGTGCCCATCTTCCTCCACTTTATATGGGACGCCGTCACAGCATGGCCTGGCAAGCAGTGCGTTGGTGCGCGCACGAGATCCCAACCCAGGCCGCCAGCAGCGGAGCACACGCACTTAACCGCTACGCCATGGGGCCCGCCCTGAAATAAATTTTTAAAAGGGAGTAAAAACAGTCCACTATAAGGTAGGGCAGTTTAACACTCCAATCCCAAATCTGCATCATGTCTCATCTCCTCCCAGCCCCCAGGGCTGGGCAACCTTCAGTTTGCTGGGGCTGGGAGTGGGGAGGTGTGCGTTAGCTTCAAGGACGCCGCCTCTCTTCCTCTCTCTCGGGCCTGGCCCGTTTCGTGCTGGGGCTCCAGAATGGGGCCTGTCTGTGGGACTGGCTGCTGCCAGTGGTGGCCCAGTACCTTGTTCTCGCTCTGGCCCAGCCTGGTTCTGTGTGCTGCTGGTGGCCTTTGGTGCTGGTTTTCAGGAGCCCCATCTGTTACCGAGGATCCTTCAGAGAGAGCCAGTTGAGACTTCCTGCCAGGTGCACCCCCCAGTTCCCTTCCTTTCCCTTGCCAGCCCATTGCTCCCCACTGCATCCACAGTCCTTCACCTGCATCCCAGAACGAGCAACAAGGGAGTGTGACGGAGGGGAAAGGGGCCCAGGCAGACCTCACTGCAGCTCCTCCTTGCCTTGCTGGCTCGGCTGCACCTGCCAGCCTGTGTGAAAACGCAGGGACCGCTGTCTGAGGTCATACGTGTTCCCAAGTCCCAGGTATTCATGCCTGCGTCCCCTCTTTCTGCTGAGGTAACTGCACTATGATTTTCATCTCAACAGGTGTGCAGCCAATCTCCCTACCTGCCAGGCGCTCCTCCTGGCTCCCGTACTGGCTTTGCAGCATATGCAGGGAGTATTTCTTCTCTGCAAACATCACACTGCTGATAATTCATCCCCCCGCCTTTTTTTTAAAGGCTTAGAAAGGTGTAATTGACATAGGATGAACTGCACATATTTAAATGTACAATTTGGTCAGTTCTGATGTGTGTACACCCGTGACTTATGCAGATGGGAAGGGGGTAGGGGGTGGCTGGTGGTCGCTAGGAGGACCTGATGGGCTGAGTTCTACCCTCCTTGTTTGTGGCGTCTTTAGAATGTGGGTGCCTAGTATTTGCCTCTCCCCACTTTGGGACCTTTGTTACTAATTTGGCAGCAAGAGTGGAAGCCCCACTCCCCTCCTGTTATGTGTCTGACACTCTGTAAAGCAGGGGTGTCCCTACCGCTCCCCAAGGAACTCCTCTTATGAGGGGAGATGGAGGCACAGAATTTGGGCTCCGAGACAGCCTCTCTACTTTAGACAGAGCGACTTCTAATTTCCTCTGTTTTACACGTGGCATCCCTTAAATAAGACTTCACCTTGAGCAAAGGGGTGCTGTGACTACGTAGGTGTGAAGACCACACTCGAGCTAGATGATGGTGAGCCACTGAACGGCTTTAAGTCGAGGGGTGGCGTGGTCAGATTGCACTTGAGAAAGATCAGCGCTGCCTGCAGTGTGGAGAGCAGATCAGTGCAGGCAGAGTGGATCTGGGGGAGACCTGCTGGGAGGCAGGGATGGAGAGGAGAGGACGGATTCAGGAAATATTTAGGGAGTGGCTTTGATTAGCCGTTGAGGAGGGGCAGGGGAGAGGAAGGAGTCTAGGATAAGGCCCTGGTTTAGATGTGGGTGACAGGTGGCCAGGGTGTGGCTCATTGAGGTGGGGACACAAAAGGAGGAGGCGGTGGGGGGAGGAGGCAGTGGGCTCAGTTTGGACACGTTAATTTGAGATACCTATTTCCTTTAGATTTGTCAGTGAGGTGGCCCAAATTGTGTCATCTAGAATTCACCTGCGCTTGCTCTCTCCGGCTCCGTGTCTTTTTACCCATGCCACAACCGCTTCCCCGCAGCCCGCACAACCAGAGGAAGGGAAACTGGTGTGAAAGCATCAGGAAGAGAGTTGACGGATTTGTGATGCGCGTTTGTGAGACTGATCAATGAAGCTAGGACTCCATGTGGCTCCAGCAGGCTGAGTGGCCTGGGTGGGGTCAGCCCGAGCACCGGGGGACGGGACGTTTTGGGTCACGTCTGTAAGCAGTGGGCCTGCCTGCGGGTAGAAGGGTCATAGTCCCTTGCGCAAACTTGAGGATTGCCTCAGCTTGGTGTCTGCTCTTTGATAAAGGCTTTTGAGGCTGATAACTTGGGAAAAATGTGGGCTTGTAGTGGATTCGCCGGAGGGCAGGTGTGCTGAGGCCAGAAGGCTCTGAAGGACTGAAGTGGACAGCAAAGTAGCCTGAGCTACTTAAGATGTTATTTCTGAGTCAGACTTGGGGCCAGCGGAGTTTTAGAACTGGATTTGATGTTTGAAATTACAGAAGTCAACATTTTCCATGGAATACTGATGGAAAAAAGGGGTCTCTGAACAGATCATATTGGAAACATCAGTTTAGACAACATTAGTGGATTTCTTTTTTTTTTTTTTGAGGTTATGCCTAGGTTTTATTTTACCAACTATCACAAGTAAGTTTTCAATCCATGCCAACGATGAATATGTAGCCACTGTTTTATTACAAACATCAAAGCTACAAGAGGCTGCCCCAGGAACCATTAGGAAGATTTCCACCGGCTCCCAGTTCCCTGGGACTTTGAGAACAGTCTTAGACTGGCATGCTTTTCTGGCTGTATTCCACTTAGTTTATAAGATTAGTCTTATTACTTGATGACAATTTTTTCTAACCACCTGATTGGCACTCTAGTAATCTTTCCTTGGAACAATCAAATTTTTTAATTTTTTCCCTCCAGTTTTATTGAGATATAATTGACATATAACATTGTGTAAGTTCAAGGTATACAACATGTTGATTCGATACATGTATGTATTTTGAAATGATTACCACAATAAGGTTAATTAATATCTCCATCACCTCGCATAATTACCATTGTTTTGTGTGTGTGGTAAGAACATTGAAGATCTATTTTCTCAGCAACTTGCAGGTGTACAATACAGTATTATTAACTACAGTCACCATGCTGTACATTACATCCCCAGAACTTACTCGTCTTATATCTGGAAGTTTGTTAAGTTATACCCTTTGACCAACATCTCTCTATTCCCTCCCCCCACCCCCCAAGCCCGTGGAAACCAGCATTCTACTCTCTGTTTCTATGAATTTGGCTTTTTTTGGTTCCACATGTAAGTGAGATCGTGCAGTATTTGTCTTTCTCTGTCCGACCTATTTCACTTGGCAGAATGCCCTCAAGGTCCATCCGTGTTGTCACAAATGGCAGGATTTCCTTCTTTCTCATGGCTGAATAATATTCCACTGTATGTATATACCACATTTTCTTTATCCTCTCATCTGTCAGTGGTGCTTAGGTTTTTCTATGTCTTGGCTACTGTGAATAATGCTGTAATGAACATGAAGGTGCAGATATTTCTTTGAAATAGTGATTTAATTTCATTTCCTTTGGATGTATAGCAAGAAGTGGGATGGCTGAATCATATGATAGTCCTATTTTTTTTTATTGAGGTAGCATTATATAAATTTTGAGTATACATCATTATATTTCAGCTTCTGTATAGACTACATTGTACCCACCACCAGAAGTCTGGTTGCCATCCGGTAGTTCCATTTTCAATTTTTTGAGGAAACTCCATAGTGTTTTCCATAGTAGCTGTGGTTAGTGGGTTTCTTTGCTGCAGGACTTTCTCGAGCCTTTAATTGCTAATGTACATTGTGAGTGTCTGAGCGAGGGCCACCACGGGTACTGCTTCCCATATGTACGCAGTTCTCTAAGCCTTTTTCTCACAGTGCATTGTGAGGGACCAGTGTTTCTGAGAACACACTTTGGGAAATGTAGAAATAATCCTTCTCTTTGTTCCTTTGTTTTTCAAAGAAACTGAAATTTTTCTTATTATAACTTTGGCCATGGAATTCAGTAAGCTTCCATTTAAGTGGTGTCCTGTTCTCCCTGCCTCTCTACATCAGAACTCATTTCCTAATGACAGATAGGCTCTGTGCGAGTAGTTTTACTGTTTTTTTTTAAGGTGTTTAAATTCTAGTGGCCTCCAAGTATAATAAAAATGCTATCCCTTCTCCCCCTCCCCGTCTCCCAGCTAGACACACCCTGGGCTTACGCAGCTCTGGGCCATGGGATATTCGGTTCCAATCTTTGTGCACCTGGCAAAGTGTAGACAGGAGCCGTGGAGGGAGGTGGGACGTCAGTGTTCAGATTGGCACACTGTCCCACGATGCTGTGGGCTCCGTCCTTTAGGGTCCTTAGGGACCGCCAGGCCCCTGACTCCTCATGCAAGTTGCTGCTTGCCAATATCTTTGAATGCCCGGATCTCAGGCTCATTCACTGTCCTGAATTATCTTTCTGTTTACTGAGCCGTGTTTCAAGAAACCCCCCAAAAAACAAAACAACTTCTTCCCTGGGGAGTATTATCTTATATTATATATAGCATTCATATTCTGTATAGCAGCCTTTCTCCTTTTCCACCTCAGGAACTGGATGCATTTCAGCCATACCCTGTTGAAATAATGCCAGGCAAGATCTACCTGGGCAATTTCAGGCAAGCCTGCGACCCTAAAATTCAGAAGGATTTGAAAATCAAAGCACATGTCAATGTCTCCATGGAGACAGGGCCGTTGTAAGTAGAAATACTATTGATTTTTTTTATATTGAGTATCATTTAGTTATACAAGACTCCTAGCGCCATGCATCTGTCGAGTTGAAAGGGCTGCGTGTGTGTCTGCCCAGCCACCTGGGCTTTTCTTCTCTTTAGTTTTGTAGGTGATGCTGACAAGCTTCTGCACATCCAGATAGAAGACTCCCTGGAAGCCAACCTTTCCCCCTTTTTACGCCACCTCTGTCACTTCATTGGTAAGGAGCATTCTCTAACCAGGAAGCAACTGGCCTGTGCCCGGGGGAGAGGGGCACCTTGTCCACACCCCTATTCCTGATTTGCACTCCAGCGCTCAGGAGAGAAAGAGCAGGGCCCAGCACATGCTGGGTCAGGTATGGACAAGCCCACCTCCCTGGGGCCCCGGGCAATATGGCCAGCCATGTGTTTACCTCGGGGGCAGTGGGGCCAAATAAGAGCACCAGACTGTGAACTGAGCACCCGGTGTACTGGCCCTGGCTGGACCACTGTGCCGTTTTGGGCCTGGCCAAACCCCAGCTCTGGCCTTGCTGCACCTGTTGGCCTGTCCTGAAATGAGGGTGTTGGCCCACCATGGGTGCATACGTTCATGGAGTCCTGCTCTGGGGACCTGGAGGTGCATCTCTCTCCATCCCTGCCTCCTGTCTGGTCAGCGGGGTGGGGTGGAAGGAAGACTCTAGAGCCCTTCTACTCTGACTTAGTGTGATCCCGTGTGCGCCCAGTGCCCCTCTGTCCTCCCACCCCGCACAGTGCCTGCCAGTCGCTTCGCTCACTGAGGGTGGATTTTCTAGTCATTCCCAGGGCTCGAGATTGCCCGAGGAGAGCAGGACCCCGGAGAGAGTGAGATTGAGTCAGGTTAGAGGCCCTACCCCAGGACAGCCTGCTTAGCACCAACACAACCCCCAGCCAGAGCCGAGCTGCTGAGGGACCAGAGAAGGGCATTTTGGCCCATATCCCGTATTTGCCCAGGATGTTGCAACTATAACTTGACTAGGAGCTGAGATGGAGACTTGCCACGTGTTCCAGCATGGGGTGGCAGAGCCCTATAGCACAGAGGCCTCTCTCCAGCCCCACGTCACTGGGTGGCTCTGGGCCAGTTCTTGACTGCTCTGTGCCTCAGTTTCCTTATCCATAGGATGAGGCAGTTGGCCTTAGTCATCTCTGAGTCTGTGTTGGTATGTTTATCTTTGGTTCTTGGGGTTACTACACCAGCCTAGGATGCCAGCCTAGACTTCCTCCCCACCCCTCAGTGGGCGGGACTCACAGCCTCAGGGGCGTTATTAGGTGTGGTTACAGCTAACATTCCTATGCCAGGCACTGGGCTAAGCACAGTACAAAGCCTTGTGAGGTAGGTCGTATACTGCTCTCCCATTTTCCAGATGATGAAACTGTGGCTTAAAGTAACATGCCCAAGCCCCGCAGCCAGTGAGTGGCAGAGCCAGGATTCGCACCCCCACTACACTGCCTCTGTTGGCACCCAAGTGCCCTTGGGGGACAATCCTCTCGTCCCCACCTGGAGAGGCCAACTGGTAGCAGAGCTTCCTGGGCTGGAAGCCTGGAGAGCCAAGAAAAGGCCTTTGCGTGGTAATGCTGAATGCACAGGCGTGATTCTCTTGAACTGCTGGCTAGGTCTGAGGATCCCCCTTGCCAGGCGATGAAGCAATGCCAGGCGATGTCCTAGAGATGTCATGTAACTTGCCTAGACCATGGCGTGCTGGTTCTGAGCCCACTCTTGGACCACGGGCCCATCGAAGCGAGTCATCTTACAGCAACTCAGGTCCACAGGGAAGAAGGCCACACGTGGTTCCTTATCTTTTCTTCCTTTTGCAGAAATTCACCTCGAGCTTGGCTCTGTCATCCTCGTGTTTTCCACCCTGGGCATCAGCCGCAGCTGTGCCGCCGTCTTGGCCTATCTCATGCACCATAATGAGCAGACCTTGAAGGTATGCATTCCCTGGTGTGGGCTCGGCCCACAACCTCCTCCAGGAGGTGGAGTTAAGCTGGACCTGGGAGGAATGGGGCCCTGGCACTGCCTCAGGGCCCTAATTGGGGGGTGGGAGGGGGAAGGATCAGAGAGGGGAGCTCCAAGTCCAGGGCTTTACCCTGCACACCACACTCAAGGCCTAGGTCCCAATGATCCGGGTAGAGGCTGAGGCTGGGCACACAGAGCAGCCCAGGGACACAGGCTGGGCAAGGCTGCATCCAGCAGCACCATCTCCATGTCCCTCACTGCCGTCAGTCTGTCCACCAGCATTTGTTCCGGGTTCTCTAAGGGAGGTACATTTGGGCTGCTGCTTGGAGTCATAGAATTGCTGTGCTGGCAGGGTTCAGGTCACACCCCCTCCAACAATCTTCCTTTACCCTGGAGGAGAGCAGGGCCCAGAATGGGAGAAGCGGGGACCTGTCATGACAAACCCAGTGAGAACCCAGGGCTCCTGACTCCCAGGATATTACTTTCCCACTGCACTAGGGGAAGGCAGACCTACCCCAAGGGGACAGAGGCCTAGTCTGGCATGGCTTGTGCATGATTTCAGAGGGCTTGGGCAGGACCCAGAAAGCTCCCACGTGTGCCCACGGGTGTGTTTGGAGAAAGGGGAGGGACAAAGAATGACCATGGTCAGAGCCCATTGCCAGCGTGTCAGATGTTGACCCAGTGTGCTCTTTGCGGGTCAAACTGCAGGCTAGAAAGAGTCTTGGATATCCAGCAATCCCACTTCTGGGTATACACCCCAGAGAAGTGAAAACAAGGACACAAACAGATATTTGTATACGCATGTTCATAGCAGCTTTCTTCACAATAACCAAGAGGGGGAGTAACCCAAGTGTCTATTGACAGATGAATGGATGATAAATGAATGGTATATCCATACAATGGAATACTATTCAGCCTTAAAAAGGAAGGGAATTCTGACACATGCTACAATATGGATGAACCTTGAGGACATAATGCTGAGTGAAATAAGCCAGTCACGAAAGGACAAATACTGTATGATTCCACTTATGTGAGGGACCTGGAGTAGTCAAATTTATAGACAGTAGAGTGGTGGATGGCAGGCACTATGTATTTTACTACCTTAAAAAAGAAGAGAGTCTGGATGCAGAATCAGAGGCCTGGAGCAAGAGGCCTGGATCCCTGTCCTCTCACCCCATCCAAGGTGAACTGTTGGGGGCCCTTGTGCTGGGGTCCCTGCCTGCTCGAGGAGTATTTGGATGTGTGCTGGGGAGGGGGTGGTGTCGCTGATAACTGGGGGCGGGGGGGGGGGGCTTGTGCTGTTGCTTCTGTAGAGATGCCTCTCTGGCCCCCTCCCCAGGAAGGGGCTCTGTCCTGAAAGGGGCCTCTCCTTCGCAGCCTTGCTGAGCTGGCATGCAGAGAAGGCCAGAAGCTGGCAGAAGGCAGGCCAAGCGCACCTGCCTGCAGGGAGCTGGGGGTGGGGCTGTGGCCAGGACTTGAGCTGCCCTGGAGTGTGAAGGAGGCCAATCTGGTGGTCTTCATCAAGCCCCTGCCCTGCTGTGGCCCTGGGTTTCCTCATTGCTCACTGGGAGGCTTGGGCACTAAAAGGTCTTTGGAGCCCTCCAACTCTGATGTTCAGCGATGTTTCTTAGCCCTGAGAAGCAGATCACAGTCCTCTCTCTGGCCGCATCAAAAACAGAGGTTGCAGCTGCTTCCGGTCGGCTGCAGCGAGAGCAAAGAGAGGAGGCCCCTCCTCCTGCTCCACTCCTCTAAGTTCCCCAGCAGCCAGGGCCAGGCCCCCACTGCAATGGGGCGCATGCAGGCCCGCACCCTGACCTTTACCAGTGCCTGCAGAGAGATGCACAACTCCAGCAATGAGGGTGATGGACATCTGGGCGTGGTCATCCTGGTGAGTGGAGAGAGGCCCTTGGACCCCTGAGATCCAGACGATCTCGCTCTCAGAAGCTTGGTGCTCCCTTCCTGGAGCAGCAATCTTCATCTCACCTGCAGAGAAGTCCTGTTGTGGAATGCTCTGCCCAGGGATGCCATTAGGATGACTCTTGGCCAGAAAAGCTGCCTGGCTCCCAGAGCTGGGGTCGGGAAGGACTGCCACTGTGACCTTGTTGGGTCCTCTCCAGACTGAGTGAGTCCTGTGTGGCAGTTAGCTTTTCCTGCTACCAAGGAGTACCCTGGATCGCTGACACGGGTTGACTGGGCTCAGCTCTGCTGCTGCCTGGGCTCTGGAGAGACATGCCTGCCTCCCATTGTCTGTGTGGTCCTCAGGGTCCTCTCAGTG